TTGAACTCTCATTCTGACGGCACCCATTCACTGCAAATTTCTCCAAATCTGTTCTGATGAAGAAACAAACTCATCTACATCTTGGATGGCCTGAGGAGGAGTACATTTTCATTTTTAGGTGAACTATTCCAATAAGCATCAAAAGAGTTCAAGGTTTTGTGTTTCACAGATCATAAGTCATACAGGTTTGGAACGACATGCTGGTGAGTAAATGACCTAAAAGTCATACCCTAATAATTAGTGAATTAGAGTAAATAACTGCAAATGACAATATAGAAGCTGTTCATATTATACATGGGTCTGAGGTTGTTGTTAAAGTGATAGAGATAAATAGACAGAAAGAGGAAAGAAAAAAAAGCATATGCAAGCAGCAAAGAAGAGTACAGACTCAGTGTGTGACGCCTTTATTTCCATAACTTGGATTCTGGAATTTATTAATGGGGCTCTTGTATATTGGGTTCTCTTGCTAGATATGACAAGAAGAAAAGGTTTGAAGAGAGAAAGGCAGAAAGAAACAAATTGGCCAGAGTGAGAAAAACAGAACTGAAATAAAGACAACAATAAGCAGAGTCTGCGGTTTTGAGCAGTTCAGTGCAAATGGCATGACAATGCATTTATAAAGCCTTTAATCAATTCATACTTTGAAATTAATACTTTTGTTTAGCAAGTAAAAGGCCTTTTAATATAATTCTAAAAACGTCCATCTTCAAGTCGTTGTACACTTGTATTTAGCTGTGAAATCTGATTTTTATTATGCAAACATAAGAATCACTTTTATATTATCAATAATATTTTAAGATGAACATTTACTGGACTGAAACAACTTAGGCTTGATTATCTATACATGATTTTTTATGAAAAAAAAAAAAAAATCATGTTAAAATGTGACAAATATGATACACCAGGATTTTGAGGAACACTTATTAGTGCATCTCTCAATCATCAATGTATTTTGTCCACCACAATTAAAACTACAGCGCATTGATCATAAAACTAAGCATTTACCTGTTAATAACTCACTTGTGTTCAGTACAAACTCCAGGGCAGGTTGGGCAGATTTCACAAGTTGGACCCTGAAACTTTGAGTCGGTACATTTACACACGCCACACTCGCAGGTGCCCCGACCGTTACAGATCTGTTTGTTACTGGCCAGACAGGTGGAGGTGTCCAGAGAGCAGTCGCACGCACTGCCTGTGTAGTTAGCGTCACAGGTACACTTTCGGCATTCACAACGACCATGACCTGGAAAGTATAGAAAGTTTGTAACTTCTCATCAGTTTAATCATGTACTGTTTCTCAACATATGTGAAGAGCAGATTGGAAAAGTGTTATTTCAGTGTCAGGATCAGCATTTTCGTACCTCCGCAGAGCTTGTTGTTGGAGCGGTCGCAGTTGAAGTTGTCACACTCGCAGAACTTTCCACTGTATCTCTCCTCTGGGTTGTCTCTTTTTTTGCACTCACATGTTCCACAAACGCAGTCCCCATTGTTGCTGCAGATGTCCGTTCCGTTATCCATGCGGCAGTTCGCGTCCAGATCTTCTGTTCTGACCTCGTCTTTACTACATTCACAAACTCTGCCGATACGTCCCTCATTGCACCTGAAAATAAGCAGACATAGATAACATTACTGCCAGTTGAAGGTCTTGATTTGGTCTTGTATACAATGTTTGAATAATACTAACTAACCTGCATGCTCCACACTCCAGGGTACCGTTGCCAAAGTGACACACTGGACTGTTCGCGATTCCGCCTTTATGACACTCACATTCGCAGATGAAGTTGAGGACGATCTCCACCTCCTCAGTGAAGCCCAGTGGCTTGATTTTTATAGTTTCTGATTTGCCATTAGATGGACAGCCTTTAGCCGTGATCGCTACTTCAAACGTCACCTGTGAAAAGAATCAATAGCCTTGATTTGATTTGCAGTCTTTATAGTTTTTAATCATGTTGCTACATCATTTTTTTTAGGAAACTGTATCCAGTGGAAAGTACTGAATATTTAATGAAACTGTCATAGATACTCCATAAGGGTTTTGACCGGAGGATATTATTCTCACCTGATCCCCAATGGAGATGTTGGAGCACTTTCGTCCATTTTCTCCTTTTTCGCTCACTCCATTCTTGCAGTGGGAGATGTAGGAGATGGAAACCCCTTCGGGGAGTCTACTGTTCTCCAGAATGATCTCAGAGGACAGAGACTGAGAAAGAGATTTAGGAAAGGATTATTTAAGAGTCTATTAAAAACTGGTGAAATATTTGGGGTCAGCAAGATTTTTTTGGAAAAAAATTAATACTTTTGTTCAGCATGGATGCTTTAAACTGATTAAAAGCGACAGTAAAGCCATTTATAATGTTTATAATGTCAAATGAATACTGTTCTTTTGAATTTTCCATTCATCAAAGATTCCTGAAAAAATATATCATGATTTCCACAAAAATATTAAGCAGCGCAGCTGTTTTCAACTGTTTATTGATAATATCACAGCAATAAATTACATTTTAAAATATAATAAATAGAAAACCGTTATTTTAAATAGTTAAAAATTTAACTTTTTAAAATTGGAATTCAATATTTTCAATTATCTTTAACAATTATTACTGTTTTTACCCCAAACTGCATTGTCATATTTCCACATTTTATTCAGCAGGAACTTGACAAGAACAAAGGAAGAGACAAAAAAAATATTAAAATCTAACTAAAAGAATTTCACTAAATTGACTTTTAGCCTCTCCTCTCCATAATTATGTTAATTATGCGCGCGCGCTCTCTCTCTCACACACACACACACACACACACACCACATATTCGCAACTCAAACATCACAGTCTGTTCATTATCAAAATAAAATAGTCAACCAAAAAAAAGGTTACACTGGTCAATTTAAATAGTTCGTGGTATAACTGGTCCACTTTGAATGCCAAGCACATTTTTGCTCATGTGAAGATGATATTTCTGTCGATATACGAATGCAAGTGAAGTACAAAGCCTCTACATTATAAATAGTTTAATTCAAATACATCGCGAATATGGAAACATTAGGATTTGTGCCGAATGAGAGGTAGGTGAGCCCAATTAACGCCTGGTACTTTCAGTTTCGCTTTGTTTTGGTTTATATATTTTTATTTCATTCTTGTTCTGTTCTGAATACCGTTACATTTATATGATTTGTTTTGGAGTGAGCTATACTAACGTATAGCTATGTTTATAGTTTTTATAATGTTTATACATTATAATAGTTCACTTTATTTGGTATTACTTCTGGTATTATTACACTCTCTTCAAACGTTCTGCTGCTCACAAAACATCAATGAGAGCGAGTTTGAAGAAAGCTGACTGGTCACGGTCAAAAATATGTTGAGGACCAATGCATAACCTCCAACCAAGGATGGGCAGTATTTATGATACATGTATTTCAAATACGTATTTCAAATACAAAATAGTATTTTGTAATTTGTATTTGATAGGGTTGATGAAAATGGCTTCGTATTTTGTATTGTTCTGAATACCGTTATATGATTTGTTTTGGAGTGAGCTATACTAACGTATAGCTATGTTTATAGTTTTTATAATGTTTATACATTATAATAGTTCACTTTATTTGGTATTATTTCTGGTATTATTACACTCTCTTCAAACGTTCTGCTGCTCACAAAACATCAATGAGAGCGATTTTGAAGAAAGCTGACTGGTCACGGTCAAAAATATGTTGAGGACCAATGCATAACCTCCAACCAAGGATGGGCAGTATTTATGATACATGTATTTCAAATACGTATTTCAAATACAAAATAGTATTTTGTAATTTGTATTTGATAGGGTTGATGAAAATGGCTTCGTATTTTGTATCAAAATACTTTAGTGTTTTGTATTTTTGTAGTTTTAAAATACTGTAAAATACTTTGTAAGAAGTCTACATGACATCATAAAAATGCGGCCTCTGATGGGTGCCTGCTCAATAGGCTAGTTTGCCCAGACTTGTTGAGATCAGAACAGAAAATTGATCTGAAAAAAGTATTTTTTAGTATTTTTAAAATACAAAAATACAGTAGTTTATTTTGATACATGGTGTGGCTGCTGTATTTTGTAGTTTATTTTGATACACTTAAAATGAAGGTATTTGGTATTTTATTTTAAAATATACTTTGATGCATCTTTGCCCAACCCTGCCTCCAAATATGCGCTCGCTCTCATATGCACGCACGCACTGTCACTATCTAATGGCGGATCCTTAAAAACAATTAACGGAACGAAAAATCCAAAATCTGACATTTTGCGGAACAGGATCCGGCTCAAATTAAGCACTGGGTGAATGTTATCAAAATGAATATTCTTAGGAATCTGTTATATTGGGTGCAGCAGGATTTGCAATTAAAGAAGTCTCAGTGGGTACTGATGGAAGCTGCCTCTTGTACTCCAGCAACTTTAACCTCTTTACTATGTGTACCAGTTCCATTTAAGCATACTACTTTAATTAAAAATAACCCAGTTGTTATACATTCATTAAGGATTTGGTCTCAGTTCCGTGTAGCGTTAGACCTTAAAGACCCTTGCACTATAGCGCCTGTTTTTTGCAATATATCATTTCCACCCTCTTTGATGGATGGGGCCTTTAACATCTGGAGGGAACATGGCCTAGCTACAGCTGGTCAACTATACATAGATAACAGTTTTGCAACCTTTACACAACTTCAAGAAAAATATAACCTACCCAGCTCCTATTTATTTAGATACTTTCAGATACTGAACTTTATTTGTAAGCATTTTTCTAACTTTCCCTTTTTGTCAAATAAAAATATCCTTGATGATATATTAGACCTTCATACATCTTTGAAAGGGGTTATTTCTAAAAATCTTTACTATAATTCATTCAAAACAGTCCTCCTCAATGCGTCCACTGAAGGCGCACTGGGAGGAGGAATTGAATTTGTCACTTGAGGGAAATATCTGGGATCTAATTCTTCATCTAGAAATGCTCCATTGCTCTAGGACTAAATTAAACAAAATATTCCCTGATCTTGACCCAACCTGCCTTCGTTGCACAACTGAACCAGCTACGTTATTGCATTCTTTCTGGTCTTGTTCAAAATGGTCTGATTTTTGGAGGAAAGTCTTCTGTTATTTTCTCTTTACCAATAGAACCCAATCCCTTAACAGCACTGTTTGGTATTTTGCCAGAATCTGTTAAATTAAACGCATTACAGGCTGACAGCGTAGCCTTTGCAACTCTACTGGCTAGGCGACTTATTCTTATGAACTGGAAGTCAGCAGCTCCCCCTCCTTATTGTTTTTGATTTCTTACATGCCCTCAAGATGGAAAAAATTTGGTTCGCAATAAAACAAAAGCCAAAACTTTTTCTGAAAGTCTGGAGTCCTTTTCTGGAATATTTTAAGCAGTCAACTACATCTTAATTTTATATTTTATTTCTTTATTATTTTTATTTCTTTTCCCCCATTTCATTTTATTAGTTATTTATTTAGTGTATAATTGTGCTTGCCTGGTGTTTTCTTTTTTCTTAATTTGAATTAATGTATGGTTGTATGTAAATGTGAATATGTATCTATATTATTTATACTATATTTACGTCATTTTTATTTTCTGTCTGACCTAAGATGAACCAAATAAAGCAAAAAAAAAAGAGGGACTTTTAGCATCTTTAGTTACTGAGATCTACTCACATTATATGCATCAATAATGAGTTTTATCACATTGCCCGAGTCGGAGGATAGCGTTCCCACAGCTGACTTTGGAATGAGGTTTTTCAGCTCCTGTAGACAAAGATAAAAACAGTTTGTCCAGGGTTCTTTTTCCCCATGCAGTATTTTATTTCCAGTAGTGTTACAGAATCTGACTTGCCTATTGATGTGGAGACAAAAGATAGCTGCTTTATTACCTGGTAAACTGGCTGGAACTCTTCAGTTACTGCAAAAATGGTCTGAATGTTGTTTTCACTTAATTTTTGAACAAGATGTGCAATCGAAGGATAGTCCTAGAAGGGATGGAAATAAATTAGACACCTTTACATACATTCTCTATGCAGTAATGACTCGCAGTGTTATACACACGTACATAGTAATGGCTCATGGTGTACATGTTATCCTGCAGATGGCATTTCCCATCATTAGGAAGCACGATGCCGCCCAGTTTTCCGTCTCCAGCGAAGTGGAATCCAGCGTCCGTGGAAAACACAAGCAGACGGGTAACATTCCTCCAGCCGATCTGATTCTGATATACAAAAGGAAGCATAAACTGAAGTTTCAAAAACCTGACAAGTCAGCAGGGTTGGAGGTCACTTCACTTTAGTTTGACTTCAGTTTGGTTACATGGCCACATCTACCTAGTAGACAGTGGACAACTGGTTACAAATCAATACAACAACAAAAAACACAAATTGAAACATTATAAAAAATGTTATAAGTATATATATATATATATATATATAAATTACGAACCGCACAGACAGCCACTTGCATGATGGCATCGAACCCTCCCTCTGGTGAGTCCAGGTTACCTGAGATCTGCTGCTTGCTAACAAGGTTATTAAACTGAAATCCATCTGCAGTCAAACTCAGCACATTTTTATAGCTGAACGGGCTGGTGCAGTTCTGGTCTGATGTGCAGGGGTTTAGCAGTTTGGCTGGTGTTGTGCTGATGTACGGCATGACAGTTTTCTCCACAAAGGAGCCAAAGCCTGGAAACATTGACAAAGAATGAAAGAAAAGGCGTTATGAACTTAGCAGTGCAATACAAATATAGACAAATCGAGCATGGATCCTCTGACGTTCCTTACCAATCCTGAAGTCAGAGGTGATCTTTTGCATTTCAAGCATAAGGTCGGTTCCCAGGTTTTTAACGTTCTCTAAATCATCTTTCATTGAGTAGCTGAGGTCCATCAGGTAGTAGAGATCTATAGGATAATCCTCAGCCCTCTTGAATGTCAGATGAAACGTCTGAGCTTCACCTGGATTGAAATGAGAGATCATGGGTTTAGACTAAAGCTTTACAGAGGAGTGAACTGATTATTCCTAGAAGGAGAGCATTACTTCACATGGCATTCAACTTTATTAGGTGATGACCTAAATCTTTTAATAAGCATTCCTGGAGTTGAGGAGGGAGTAAGCAGTACCTGATCTGAGGTCTAGGGTGAGTTTCTGTGGTTGAATCTGGGTGATCTGGTCTGGCTTCAGTTTTACTCCATCCTTTGTGCGGTCTGTTAAAGATTGGTTCTTGTTGACGCTAACAGTTCCCCGAGGATTTTCTATGCTGGCTTCAGAACAGCCCTTCTTAATCAGAGCTTCAACCTCATCACAGCGTGTGGACTTCTGCTCACCCTGTTTCAGAAAGTCCTGCAGAAAGAGTTTATGAAGATTATGATCACTCCAACAAAAATAGTACCAGTTGGAGCACAGCATCAGTAGTATTTAATCTTACAAAAGATTAAGCAGTTTTAAGGGACATATATAGAGAATTGTGTTCTTTTGGGACAATATATCTACTTATGTTAATGTATTAAATAACACTATATCTATGGTATATCTATAGCAGGGATATTCAATTGACCCTACACTGGGAGTTTCATTTGACAAGCGATCTGACCAATCAAAACACGAATCTGCCATTTTGTCCAACAAACAAACCAGACAGGAGAGTAGATTAAAGTTGGTGAAACAAGATACCTTCTGATGTTCATTCATGTTTATTTCATGCTATAACTAGTAAAGAGGAAGAGATGATCGGTTCACATGCCTCTTGAACTGAGGCGCTAAAGCGATTTGTCACGACACATTAAAGAGCCACATAATGTTATTTATTGTTTGAATTTATTTTAAAAATGACCAAATTAGAAAGCTGAGGCTTTGTTTCATACAAAAAGTAACCTGCTTGTGCTATCTGCTATCATTTTAGAGCTTGTCTTGTCTGTCAGTGTCAGATGTATTTTTCACTGCGTGAGAACATGATGTGTAGCGTGAAAGCACCATGGTTTGTCAGACCTCAGACAGACGAATAGTCCCACCCCAAACTCAAACCATTGTTTAAGCCAATGTTGCGGTGTTGGGCTAGTCGGGATGAGGATGTGCAGTGTGCCTGTTGAAATAATTAAGAAGGGGCACATTCCCAACAGAGCTCAAGCCCCCTGCCCTGCATTACATGAAGTTTAGTGATAGTCCACTTCCTGCTTTCTGTAATGTGGTCTAAGATTGGTGCTTCCTGTCCTGCCATAACATGCTCCACATGGCAGAAACAGACATGATCACACAGGACAGTGACTCATGAACACTGAGGGGGATGATGTGCTCAAGTTCCACTAACATGACTCAAGAAACTGTGGGTAATAATCAACTACAGGCGAATAAAGGTGGGACAGGAGGTGGTGTCACTCATGACATTTCAAAACACTGGATATTTCGCTCTCCCAAAAACAAGTTTTTTGGAGACAGAATTGTTTGCAGAATCACAGGATGTCCTCTAAAGACTTGGATAAACAAATAATCTGACTACAGCAAATGGTTTCCTCCATACCATTTTCCCCTAAATGCACATAGTTGCAAAAGCAGCCATTTCCGACTTTAATGGTTTTGTCTGAACTCACCTTGTCTGTACACCAGCCACACTTTTCTCCAGCCTGAATGCATTCTCCACAGGACTGGGCCGAGGCCTTGGTGCATTCGTTACCATCTGTACACACACAACAAAAACATCCATCATTCTCAATTCCATCCCACCACTAACACAGGAAATCCAAATCAAAGCGCATTTAATAACTATCACCATGGGCAGCCATACGCAATATGATTCTCTCTCATGAGACTGCCATTCTAAAATAGACGCAGAGTGGCCATATGCTGTAGGGAGGTCATGTGAACTGTATTAACGATGGCATCCTTACTGCCTTCTCTAAAGACTTAATGCAAACCATGAGGCCAGCACATCCAGAATAAACCACACAGGACTGTGGGTCATCGCTAGAAGATGATGATGTATATATCGCATTCCTATTATTCTGCATTAATGCTGTGATTTTTCTTTTGGTTCTTTTCTTAGATTCCACACTGCTGCCATATCTGAGATATTCCTGGAATGAAAAACGGTACAAATGTCTAACAGATGATCTGGCCAGTATTTTTTAAGACTCTGGTCTGGTGTGTATTCTGAGTGGAACTACTGAATGGAACTAGTGAGTGAAACTACTGAGTGGGGGGGAATCACTCAAACGTCAAGCTGCTCTTACACATACAGTGAAGTTAAAAAGTCTGATTTTTTTTCTTATTTAAACCGGCAAATAAGAATTTTTTTGGGTGGGGGGGTTGGGGGGGGTGACAACTTCTTTGTTAACCTGAGGTGAGGGCAACATCAGAGACTGCATTAAAAGGTTAGTTCACCCAAAAATGAATATTAGCCCATAAATTACTCACCCTCAAGGCATCCTAGGTGTATATGACTTTCTTCTTTCAGACGAATCCAGTCGGAGTTATATTAAAAATTGTCTTTGATCTTTCAAGCTGTTTAATGGCAGTCAGCGGGTGTTGCATTGCATCAGTCCAAAAGAAGTGAAATAAAAAG